GGAAAAAAAAAAAAAAAAAAAAAAAAAAAAAAAAAAAAAAAAGGAATTGTAAACGCAAAGGGTGGAAGTGGACCCATTGAGAAACAGCAAGGAGATGGTGACACTGGAGAAGAGGGAACAGGCAAGTAGCAAGTGAGGTCAGAGAAGTAAAGGAGCCAGGTCTGTCAGGGCCCACAGCTTCTGTATTGACTTCGTTTATTCTCTGAGGGAGATGAGGAGACTGGAAGTTTTGAGAAGAGGAGACGTGCTCTATACTCATGTCTTAATAGGACACTTGAGCTGCTGCTGAGAATAAAGGATGTTGTCCTAAGGACAGAGAAGCTGCAGAAGTCCTAGGATCCTGGATGTATTCTGAAGTGGAGCCAATAGAATTCTTTGTGCTGATGTGGAGAGTGAACAAGTTTCCTGACTTATTGAGAAGGAGAAAACTGCAAGGAGCAAGTTTGGCCCGAAAGATTAGAAGCTGGGTTTGGACAGGTAGAAAGGAAACTTCAAGTGGAATGCTTTGCAAGAAAAGAGAATGAAAGAATTCTAAACTTTCTGACAGACCTTTTCAAGGATTGATTAGCCTCAGAAAAGTAAAAAGCAGATTTAAATATCCTCTGCTGTTAGGGATCCTTGGGCTGACGTTTTGGAGGCACGAAATTGCGCGATTTGTTCCCATTCTAAATGGCTAGAAGTGCTTTCTTACTTTCTCAAGGCTTGCTTTTTATCCCTTTGTTCCCTCTCTTGCTTCCAAGCTGTCAGGTACTTTTCTTCTCATCTGCTCATGTACTTATCTGGCCTACACCCACTCCCCACTTTCTAATTCCCTGGAAGCTTGCTTGGAACCCGGAGAAATACTCTAATTCTCCAATGGATAAGGCTCTCTGCAGGGTGAAGCCTTACTTCCTGGTTCTCAGGAAAAACGTTTCATTTCGTAAAAGGGCTCACGGAGCACACAGCCTGGGAGTTGAGAAACTTGAGGCGAGGTCCGACTGAGCCACCAAATGGCCGGGGGACACCGTCCCACGCCAGGGACCCACCCAAATCCGTATCCTGGAACGAGCTCTGTCCACGCAACCTACTTCCTCTCTAGCTGTTCTCACTTTGATAACAAGGCGATTTCCGTGCCGCAGCGGTCCCCTCAACAACCTTGAATCAGAGAGACAGAGGCCGCGGCGCAGACCTCGGCCGAACTCAGATGAAGGAGGCGCGCAGGCCAGGAATTCCTTACCTGCCCGGGCGGGGCCGTGCGGCGTGGGATGGGTGCCGCGCGGCCGAGCGCGCGCCCACAGAACTAGCGCTCCAGGAAGAGCTGGGGCGGGGAGGGGCGGGCCCTACTCGGCAGGCCACGCCCCAGAACACGCCCTTCCCCGTTCCCGATTCCTCTTGGCACCTCCAGGGGGCTCCACAATGTGAGAAACTCCACGTCTCCCGTAGGGCGCTTCTTTACGTGGGAGCCTGCCCTTTAAATACGTCCTTGTCGGAGGCTGAAAAAGGTAGGGCTTCCGGGCATGCGCACTGGGTTGTGCCGAGGAGTGCCTTCACCTGGATTCGAGGTAGACCGGGTTGAGCTGCTTGCGCGATGTGGGGATTGTGTCTGGGGTGATGACAGTGTCGGCATGGAGGATCCCGACCCTTTGTCCCAAGAGAAGGGCGACGTGGGCCAGTGTCGCGCCTCGGGACGAGCTGAGGCTGGGGAGAGGGAGGAAGGGAAACGAGTAGAGCGGCTGGCAATGTCGGGGATACCTTTGGACGTGCTGGAAGGCAGCGCCGCTGGAGGCTTTAGGTCTGCGGAGTGGTAGCATTCGGGGGAGTGAGTTCGACGGAACTTGGGCCATTGGTGAAGGAAGAGCATGAAGGAAAACGAGCTACCTTTCTCCATTTCTAACACCTTCCCAGGATCCCTTTTCAACCAACAGTTCCTCAAACACGGGCTGGTCAAACCACCCTCCGCCCCGCACTCTCACCAGCAGATTCTGCACCTTCGTGCTTAACTCCATGTGGGCTCCTTGGCTGTCCTCCAGCTCGGTTCCGCTCTTTTGCTCAGATGCTTGGCTGGAGCTCACTCGTCGTTACATTTTCCGCAATTTTTTCTACCTGTTTCACTAACTTAGAATGTCTTCGTATCTTCCTCCCTTTTTTCTAGGGGAAGAAAATATCGTTATTCTTTCAAGGCCAATCCCTACAGCTGTGTCCTTGATCACATTGTTTCTCATTTCCTCTCTTACTCCATCAAATGCATCCTGCTCAGTTGCTAGAGTCATCTTACTAAAGCATTTTTTTGGACTGTGTCGCTTTTCTACTCAAACATTTCTAGTGGCCATCCATTGACCACCCAATAGATTCGAAGTCCTTGGCGGGGCATTCAGTGTCTTCCACAGTCTGGCACTAATCCAGCTGTATTTTCCAGAACTGTACTAGAAACGTCCCCCCGCCCCCCCCCCCCTACTGCTCTGTATCTGGGCTGTTTACTTTTCTGTAACACACTGCATATTTTGTTTGCACGTTACTATGTCTCTGCCTCACTTCTATCTCTTGAACCATTTCAAGGAGGTCATTTCTTGCATTTTGCCTCTCCTGAGTGTCATAGGCAAAAGTGATCCTTCTTTCTTCCTCTTCACTCTTACAGCTCTGATTTTGTACTAGTTGTTTCATTTATTCAACAATCAGTATTGATTGTAGACCTGTGTGCATGGCATTGTTCTAAATGTGGGATAATTAGTAGTGAATAAGGCAGACAAATTTCCTGCTCACATGGAGCTAACATTCTAGTTGGGGGAAATAAACAATAAATAATAAAGAAAAAACAACTAGAAATACTTTGCAGAAAGCTAAATAGGATTGGAATATAGGGTCCAGAATCTTAAATGTCTTTGGAAGCCAGGGTAAGTAATTTGGATTTTATTATAAATGTGATTAGAGGGCTTTAGACAGGGTTGCAATGGGATTTAATTTACCTTTTAAACACCGTCTGGCTGCTATGTGGAGAATGGACTATAGAGGGCTAATACTAAAAACAGGGATTAGAGACCTGTACAATGTCTAAGAATTTGGGGAATGGAAATATTAAAGTAGTGGTGATGAAAAGATGGTGGAAGTGATCACAGAATTGGATGCTTAAAGTTGGTGCAGTTTTTGGTAATGAGAAAGTCAACGTTATCATCAAGGAAATGAGTGACCAACATGAAGCAGAGGTGGGAGGTTAAGGTTGAGACTGAGAAACTGAGGAGCCAAGCTGCTAAATGGATGATTCATATGGACAATCAGGAAAGTCATGCTGGATAAGAAGATAGTGAGCCAGAAGTCATCAGTGAATGGAGTTGTCAGGGGATCAGAGAGAGGATGGCAGCAGATGGTAGAGCCTGATGACATGATCTTCAAAGGAATTGGGGTTTTTGGAGCTAGAAGGGAAAAAAGGTTTGGAAGGAGCAGTGGAAAACAAAATATTTACAACTTCCAGGTCTAAGGTAGATGTGTGTGAAAGGAAAAATAGCCTTTGCGTGAGAGGACTACAGAAGAAGCATCTTGGGGACACGGCCAAGTTTCAAGTAGGGCAAGATACCAAGGGGACTGGGCAGGAAATTAAAGAATTAGGGAAAATAAATAGATCCTTATATATTCTCTAGGATATTAGGGTATAAAGAATTTGCTGTGACTTCTACATGGCACAATGGAAAGGATTTAGAAGGGGGGTGGTTTGCTAAATTGATTCAGAATTAGTAGAATACATTGTAGAAAATAGGATGAAGGTCCAGATGATAATTTACCTGGAGAGTGTGGATAATACAAAGAAGTGGGTAGTATGCAGCCCCTGGGCAATTTTTGTTTCCTGCAGCTCCGTGTGGTATGGTAGCCATGGGTTGTATGAGAAGTAAGTGAAGGATTCCTCATAGTACTGTTCTCTTGTCTACTGCTCCAAGAAAGTGCTGTAAGGGCTTCTTCTCTCGGATGTCAGTGACATAGTTCGAATTTTCCTCTGGGTCAACCTCAAAATTTTTATCTGTCCTCATGCGGGATTTAGAGAAGGCTTAAGGTCCAGTACTAACTTAAGCCTACCTTGAAATATAATCAAATTGCAAGTTAATAATTAGAAATTCATTTACCTATCAGTTTAGACTATTTCTTTCATCTTGTCCTCTCTCCTGTCTCTAACGCCTAACATATAAACATCTAGCCACAAATTCTCTGGAATTAGCTGGAAATTTTAGGCTCCCGGGATGGGATTTGGACAAATCATGGTAAACAGTCCTATGTTCTTGTCTCTTCTTTTTGAGCTTACAAATAATATTTTTAAGGTAAACTTGAAGTTGACTTATTTTAATCCTGGATGATAGATGGAAACCTGGAGTGAGTAAAGATTCAAATTACAAATTACTAGTTGCACCAGAAATAGTTTGCTAATTAATTCTTATTGGTGTAGGAGAGTCAAAGTACATATAACATATATTCATAAATTAATGTATGAAAGGAGTCAGAATTGAAAGGGAGACAGTTAAATAAATCCCGCAAACGTATTTTTTTGTTGTTGTCTACAATTTCTCTTTCTGGTAACTGACTGCTTCTTTGTTTCTTTTGTAGGTTTTATTTAAAAATGGAAGAGGATACAGATTATAGAATCAGGTTTAGTTCTTTGTGTTTCATTAATGATCATGTTGGATTTCATGGCACGATAAAAAGATCACCAAGTGACTTTATTGTTGTTGAGATTGATGAACAGGGACATTTAGTTAATACAGCCACTAATGAACCTGTCTACGAAATTAGTAAAATATTACCTGAGCCAAATAATTTTGCCAAAAAACCAAAACTAGATCTTCAAAATGTATCCTTTGAAGATGGAAAAAAACAAGAAGTTAATACTTTGGCTAGATGCTCTGATGGTGACCAAAATCATCAGTCTGGTTCAGAAAAGGAAGATAGTATCAATGGAGGAACTTCCGAATGTGAAGAAAAGGCTGATGTATTAAGCTCCTTTTTAGATGAAAGAACTAATGAATTATTGAATCAGTTTGCCTCTGATGTAAAAGAGAAGTGGACTTCTAAAACTGAGCCAATTGGACCATCTCCTGAATTCTCAGTAGGCAGAATCCTTGACAAAAACCAGAGGGCTATTTTGCATAGTGCTATTAGGCAGAAATTTCCTTTTTTGGTAACTGTAGGAAAAAACAGTGAAATTGTTGTAAAACCGAATCTTGAGTATAAAGAACTCTGTCACTTGGTATCTGAAGAAGAAGCATTTAACTTTTTTAAGTATTTGGATGCAAAGAAAGAAAATTCCAAATTTACCTTTAAACCTGATACAAATAAAGACCACAGAAAAGCTGTCCACCATTTTGTCAACAAAAAGTTTGGAAACCTTGTGGAAACCAAATCTTTTCCTGAACTGAATTACAGTGCTGCTAATCCAAATGTAGTAATAACTGTAAGATTTCGGGAAAAAGCACACAAACAAAAGCACAGGAAAAGTTCTCTTCTTGAACGTGAGGAAAGAAAAGCTATATATACAGGTAATTTAATAATAATCATAATCATTTTCTTGGATAAGCTTAAGTTTAAACTTGTGTGAAAGTTGAATAATTTCAAATGAATTGAATAGTCTTGGTCAGAGATATTGGAAAGAATGTATGCTTTACATGTAGTAAGAGGAATTGCTGATAAGTGATCTAAGCAGCGGTAGGAATTCTCATTTATTCTGTTACTTAACAGAAAATAAAGCCTTTCAAATTGCACTGAATGTAAAAAGTATCTTTATTGATTAGTGTAGTTAACACAGACATTTATAGTTAACATAGTCTCAAATGTGTAAAGTTGAAGCAATTATTTTGAGTTTAGTAAGTTTCATTTAAGGTAAACCCTGATTTCATATTTTGAAAGTCATCTTAATTAAAATTAAGTACAGATGCTCCTAGACTTACGATGGGGTTATGTCCAGATAACTCTATCATAAATTGAGAATATTGTAAGTTGAGAATGCATTTAATACACCTAGCCTACCAAACATCATAGCTTAACTAGCCTACCTTAAATGTGCTCAGAAAACTTACATTAGCTTATGGTTCCAACACAAAGACTGTTTTATAATAAAGTGTTGAATATCTCATGTAATTTATTGAATACTGTACTAAAAGTGAAAAACAGAATAGTTGTGTGGGTACTCCAAGTCTAATTTCTGCTGCGTGCATGCTGCTTTCACACCATTGTAAAACCAAGAAATTGTTAAATCAACCCATCATAAATCAGCGACCGTCTGTATTTGGAGGTAAAATGAATATGTTTGGAAAAGTGAAGAGAATACCTTGTAATCCAAAACAAATTTCCCTACCCAAAGTAGGGAACCTGAAAACTTGCTATGTCAGTCTTCTAGAGAAGATGTACTCAAACTTTAGCATCTGTCATAATCACCAAAAGTTCTTGTTAAAATGGATTTCTAAGCCCCAATCCCAGTTTCAAATTCAGAAGGTTTGGGGTGGGGCTTTCGCAAATTCCCAGGTGATGCTTTTTCTGCTGGTCTGGGACTACATTTTAAGAATCACTGTTTTACAGGCATATGTTTAATTCCTAGGATGGATGGAACTGATGAAATCTCACTGTACAAGTCTAGCTGTCCGAGTTCAATTGGCCTATATTCTACTAAAAGGATGGGAGGTGTTTCAGATGGCCATATTTTGTACATTTATTTAACAAAGCATTTAAGATAAAACCAGCAACCCAAATTTCCACAGATGTTTGGCACAGAAACAGGATTGTACTGTGTAGGGACTCTGGGTGTAAATGAAAAGAGTTTGGACTTTGCAGCTATCTGAGTTTGATTCATATTATGACTTTAGTTCACAAAAAGATTTATGAAATTTTTAATATCTTTAAGACTGAATTTCCACAAATATATAAATGAGAAAAATAATGCAATGGGCAAGTTACTTAACAATTCATAACTTTAGGTTATACTTTGAAAATGGGATAGTAGTAAAGCCTAACTCACAAGTGCTCTAAAAATTTAATGACATATAGTCATGTGGTGCTTAATGGGAATACATCCTGAGAAATGCATTGTTAGGTGATTTTGTTGCTGTGCAAACATAGAGTGTACTTACACAAACCTAGATGGTATTGCCTACTACACACCTTGGCTATATTGTATAGCCACTGTCACATACGTGGTCCTTTGTTGATCAAAACATCCTATGTGGCACATGACTATAATTAATGCAATTGTAGTATGTAATAGTTCCTCAAATGTTAGCATCTTTTTCCCTCCTGCTAATTTCTGTCTGGTTGTGTGACTTCCCTTTTCCATGAGAAAGCTGCTAGTATACGACTTGATACATTAGGCATGCAGTAAATATTAACAGATAAATCTATTTTGAAAGAAAAACAATACTACCTTTACATGTAGGGAGAGGAATTTAATCAGCTCTAAAAATTCTTATTTATTTTATATTACTTGGAATTCTAACTATTAATTTGGGTAATGAGTCAAAAAATTGTGGAAACTTCTTATATCTAAGTTTAAATTAGTTTTGCTGAAGCTGTGAATAGTTAGAGGGACATTTTAAAAGGAGGAATTGATGGTTCACCAGAGAACAGTATGGAAACATCGGGATACCTACAAGGTCAAGAACAAAGAAAAAGACGAACATAAATTTTGCCCATCTTACACTTTGTTTAGGCAACCTTTTATAGCAATCAAAATAGTTCATTTAAAAAATATTTAACAGGTAGACCTATCTAAAAAATAGAACACATTTAAAAAAAAATTTTATGTTTATTTTTTAATTGTGGTAAAATATACGTAATACAAATTTTAATATTTTAATCATGTTTAAGTGTAGAGTCCAGTGGCATTAAGGACATTCACATTGTTGTACAACCATCATCACCATTCCTCTCCAGAATTTTTTCATCTTCCCAAACTGAAACTTCATCCCCATTAAACAATCTCATCTTCCCCTCAGCTCCTGGCTAGCACCATTTTGCTTTCTGTTTCTATGAATTTGACAACTATAGACACATCATGTAAGTGGAATCATACAATTATTTGTCCTTTTGTGATGGGCTTATTTCACTTAGAATAATGTCTAAAAGGTTCATTTGTGCTATAGCATGTGTTAGAATTTTCTTCCTTTTTAAGGTTGAATAATATCTCGTTGTATGCATTTACCATTTTTTATTTATCCATCCACCTGCCAATAGACACCGGTTGCTTCCACCTTTAAGGTGTTATGAATAATACTGCTGTGAATGTTGTTGTACAAGTTTCTATTCAAGTCCTAGCTTTCAGTTCTTTTGGGTATATACCCAGAAGTGGAATTGCTGAATCATATAGTAACTCTGTATTTAATTTTTTTCAGGAAATGCCATACTATTTTCCTAGAACACTTTTTGAAGAAGCAGTTCTATGAAAGACTTAAACATCGAGTGAAATTTTCATTTTAGATATTGCATTTCCCAGCTCTAGAAGTTTCATTTGGCTCTTTCTTAGGTCTTCAATTTCTGTCCTTATTATGTTCATATTTTTCTTTAATCTTTGAAGCTATTTTTTAATAGGTATTTACAAATATTTATGTGCCAATTCCCTCTCTGTCATTTCTGGGTCTGTGTCTATTGACTGACCTTTACTTGGGTTATAGGTCGCATCTTCCTGCTTCTTTGTATGTCTAGTAATCTTTTTTGGAGACCAAACATTGTGAATGTTTCTTTGTTCAGTATCTGGATTATGTTGTCTTCTTTTAAAGAGTGTTGAACTCTGTTTTAGCAGGTAGAAAGCAATTTGCAGATGCATTTGAGGCTTCATTTTAAGTTTTATTAAAGGAGATCTAGAGTAGGCTTTACTCTAGGGCCATTATATAAGGGGACCTCAAAAAGTTCATGGAAAAATGGAACTAAAAGGTAAAAACAAAAATATAGGCTTTATTTCTCAACGTAAGCTCCCTCAAGTTCAAGATACTTTAGTAAGTGATGATACTAGGTTTTTAGTATAAATAAGAACTGAAGGTCCTGGGAATTTAACTATGTCAATTCAATGAAGTCTTTTTTTAAATTTTTAACTGATGAAAAATAGATGCCCTTTAAAGATTTTTTTAAATTATGAGACAAAAGTCAGCAGGAGCCAAATCAAAACTGTAAGGTAGATGCCTAATGATTTCCCATCTAAACTCTCACAAAATTGCCCTTGTTGTGATGAGAAGAAGGAGCAGGAGCATTATTGTGGTGGAGAAGGACTCTCTGGTGAAGCTTTCCTGGGCATTTTTCTGCTAAAGCTTTGGCTAACTTTTTGCAAAACATTCATAATAAGCACATATCATTCTTTGGCCCTCCAGTAAGGCAACAAGTATAATGTCTTGAGTATTCCACAAAACTGTTGCCATGACCTTTGCTCTTGACCAGACTGCTTTTGCTTTGATGGTCCACTTTCACCTCTTGTTAACCATTGCTTTGACTGTGCTTTGTATTCAGGATTGTACTGGTAAAGCCATGTTTCAGCTCCTGTTACAATTCTTTGATGCTTTAAGATATTGATTCTACTTGTTTAAAATTTTCATTGAGAACTCTGCTCTTGTCTGCAGCTGATCTGGGCACAACAGTTTTGGCACCCATTGAGTGGAAAGTTTGCTCAACTGTAATTTTTGTCAGAATTGTATAAGCTGAGCCAGTTGAGATGTCTATGGTGTTGGCTATTGTTTCTGCTGTTACTTGTCAGTCCTCTTCAATTAGGGCACAAACAAAGATTAATTTTTTTCCTCGCAAACTGATGTGGATGGTCCACTGCTGTGGGCTTCATCTTCAACATTGTCTTGTTCCTTCTTAAAATGATTTATACATTTGTAAACTGCTAATTTCTTTGGGGCATTGTCCCCTTAAACTTTTATAAAGCATTAATGATTTCCTCATTCTTCCATCCAAACTTCACCGTGATTTAATGTTTGTTCTTGCTTTAATTTTGACAGAATTCATGTTATTCTAATAGGGCTGTTTTCAACTGATGTCTTATCCTTCTTTAGTGCCTCAAACTAGATCCTGTTCAGACGTGTTATATCAAGTTAGTACAAGTTTATTTTGGGCAAAAAAATTTTGAAATTCATGCTTAGTTTTTTCATAATATGCACTTTCCATGAACATTTTGAAGACCCCCTCATATAGCTTTGCTACTGTAACATGATCATTCAGTTAACTTTGCTGAATGTCCTTGCTATTTAATTAGATTGCTCCTCTCTGGCTGGTCTGCAGCCTTTTATAGCCTCTGGCAGGTTACAAGTGGTTTATACTTCTTTGTCCAGCTGGTGGAGTGTGGTAGCCAGCAGATGTGGCAGAAGTGATAGTGACTTCTGAGGCCAAATCATTGTTTCACATCACTCTGATGGCAGCACAACACCTTGAAAACACTCAAGAAGCCCTGTGGAGAAAAACTGAGACTTCCCACCAATAGTCAGTGCCAACTTAACCACCAATGTGAGTGTATCACCTTGGAAGTGTATCCTCCACCTTCAGCCAATATTTGACTGCAACTTCACAGCAGACCTCAAGCCAGAACCGCCTAACTCCTGAATTCCTGACCCATGGAAACTTTGGGATAGTGTATCATTCTGCATGGGTTGCTGTCACAAAATACCATAGACTGGATGGTATTTACAATTTCTGGCTTACACACATTTTCTCACAGTCTGAAGAATGAAAGTCTAAGATCAAGCTGCCAGCAGGGTTAATGTCTTGGGTTGCAGATGGCCACCTTCTTGCTCACATGCCCTTTTCATTGTGTGCACAGAGAGAGAGAGAGAGCTCTGGTGTCTCTTCTTATAAGGATACTAATTGTATTGGATCAAGGCTCCACCCTTAAGACCTCATTTAACCGTACTTACTTCCTTAGAGGTCCCACCTCCGAAGCAGTCACATTGAGGGTTAGGGTTTCAACATATGGATTTGGGGCAGGATGGGGAGGGGACAAAAACATTCAGTCCCTAACAAATAGTAGATGATTATTGTTTTATGTCATTAAGATGGAGTGATTTCTTTGTAATATTTGGTAACTGATAGAGATTTTGGTATCAGAAGTGAGTTGCTGCTGTAATGAAAGCCTAAAATGTGATAGCAATGCCTTCAGGACCTATTGGCAGGCAGAAGTTAGAAGGTCCCTCAAGGAAGCTGTCAATGAGAGTTTAAAGAAACGTAAGGAAAATATTGTCATAACCTGGAAGAAAGGTGTTCTTGTTATGTAGCTCCAGAAAACTTAGCAATACTTTTGCTTGCAGTAAAATGGAAAGTAAAATACCAACCAAATAAGGCATGCTCTGAGATTTCCAGGCAGCGTATTGAAGGTGCAACCTTACTTTTTACTGCTTATAGTAAAATTTTGAACACTGTACTTGCTGTGCTCAAAATGTGTTTTTTTCTTGTTGTTTGGCATTGCTGGTTTTTTTGTTTTTTTTTTAATTCCCAGCTTCTCCAGGTAGCACATGATGTTTAAATTAAGAAATATCTTCCAGGCAAAGAGAAAATCTATGGCTTCATCAGGACAATGTGCTCTGACAAGAAAATATAGGATGTCATTGTAAAATCCTTTGTTAACATTTCAGAAAGATCTGTAACGGTGCCTCATAGAATGGTTCAGACAGACAAAAGGCCTCTCAGGACTTTAAGGGCATGACTCATGGATCTCCTGTGTTAAACAGTAGTACTAGGAATTTTAGGGGGATTTTTGTCTGCAACTACAGTCTTGAGAAGAGAAGGATTTATTTTGAAAAAACTTGAATGTATCTTTTGTCTAACAAAAAATCATTACAAATCATTACAAGTAGTCACAACAAATCGTTACCGGATATTGGTAAGGCTGTTCTAATAAAGGAAATATCAACATATACCTGGCTAGATTTAGGATTGCTACGGACCAGTGACTTCTAGACATTTCCGTTTTTCCCTCAGTTTGAACAAGGAGTCTATGGTTCTTGTCCCAGGTATATCCCAACATTTTAAGGTGTGTAGAAATCAGATTTGTCTCTTCATTTCACAGTCCTTCTTAACCTTCAGATCAAGAAAAATTGTAATTGAGGATCTGAATTTAAGAGAATGGCATTCCAGGCGACTTATTCGTATGTGGACCTAATTTAGATGAAGAGATCCTAGAATCTGAGCTGTTGTCTTAACGGGATGAGTCTTTGGGGCCTTGGGAAAGAATAAGTGTATTTTGAATAAAGTATTAGAGCAGAAGATGGATTATTTCTCAACATTCAGTATGGCTCCCAGTGATCTTCTCCTCTTATTCACACAGGCTGGCCTGAGTGACCAGTAGAATAGGGACAGAAGTGATGGTGTGTGATGTGACTTCTGAGGCTAGGTCATAAAAGTATTGTACTTTTCATCCACTTTTTAAAAAATTGCTCACTCTGGGGAAAGCCAGCTACTATACTGTGAAGACACTCAAGCAACCTTTTGGAAAGGAACTAAAGCCTCTCACCAACAGCCAAAACCACCTTGCCAGCCATGTGAGTGAGCATTTTTAGACATGGTTCTTCCAGTTCCTTTCAGGCTTTTAATTAACTGCTGCCTCATCTAATTGCAACCTCATGAGAGAGAAAACACCAAACCAAGGTGCTCTTGAATTCCAGACCAAAACCATGAGATAAAGGAATATCACGAACCACTATGCTTTGAGATGATTTGTTACACAACATTAGGTAAATAATACATAGCGTTTAGTCCTCAACATGGGCAAATTACTAATCAGCAACAAGCTTGAGGGACCATTTCTACAGAATTCTGGAACTCTTCGGCATTTCTTCTTCTATTCTGGTACTCAGCCCTGTGAATTCCAGCCCACTCGGCATTCCTGAATTCCACTCTCTACCCTCTTAACTCAGCTCTATCTGGATCCTTCCTCCCTGTGCTATGATCCAGAAAGTACTTCTAGACAGAAAACCAGGGTACTTTAGGACTCACCTCATTGTTTTCCTTTTCTTTTGGATCACAATTCTGTGGTGCCTGTTCCCCAGTCTCTTAGAAACTGCTGTTTTCGTTAAGTTTTGTCCAGTTTTCTATTTGTTCACAGTGGGAGGTCATCTGTTACCAATTAATCCAACATGGCTTGAAGTGGGTCTCTAAAATTAAATTTTAAAATGTAGTATAGTTGGTTTTCTTTCTAATACTTCACTTGTTCCAAGCAATTAAGAAAATGTTATAAATCTTATAAAGTCATAAATTTAATGACCTTTAAGTTTTTGTAAATGTTTCCGTATTGTTTACTAACTTAAATAAAATTAAATGTGAAAAGACTAATTTAAATCAATTAAATATTTTTAATTCGAACTACAGGTCTCATTCTCTTAAACATTCAAATACATAAACTTCTATGCAGATTAACATAATAATGTCATGGATTTTGTTCTCTTAAATATTTCTACACTAAATTCTAAATCTTCATGATAGAAAAATGCTTATGCACTCAGAATAAGCAGCAACAAACTGATGTCTCAAACAAGTCACGGGTTCCTTCTTATGCAGCTAGGCTTCCCTAATGACATGCCCAAGATTGTCAGGGACAGATTTAACACACTGAACTCAAGTTATTAATGACCTACACTGCTGGCCCAGAACTCCCAGTCAATGGGGTGACAAACATAAAGAGATAAATTATGATATTCAGTGTTAAGTGTCATGATATAGATCGTGATAACTTGTGGAGACATGTAGGATTAAGTAATCAACTGCTTGTCAAGTTCATTTATTCATTCTTTCAGCCAACAGATAAGTGAGTACTTGTTCAAATATTCTAAAGTGAGGATATAATAGTAATAAAACAAACGTAATCCTTACTTTGGGAGTATTCAGCCTTGGAACCTGAGAAGAATTTGATGGAGAATTGCTGCTGCTGTTGGAGCGTGAAGAATGAATGGAAGCATGGCATATAGTAAATGGAGAGAACACATGTTTTAGACAGAAGGACTCAAATGTGCAAAAGTACGAAACTGTGGAAGTCTATAGTCCATCCAGGGATTACAAGAAGTCCTCTCTGTTAGGATTATAGGATATACGAATGGAAGTGGCACATTTGGAGACTAGAAAGGTCAATTTGGGCCAAATATGAATGCCAAATTAAGGAATTTGGATTTTTTTTTTTTCTGTAACCCGTTAATGATCCAACCAGCATTTTAAAAATTACAGCTAAAATCTATGATGCTGATTTTATATTTTGATTAAAAAATACTGTTAAATTAATGATTTGGTTTATTATATTAACTTGTTAGTGTGCTAAAAGTTTAATTGATGTATGGTAGCTGCTTTTTCTGTAATCCTGGATTATTTTTGTTTCAGCTTTTACACTACGAAAGGAAAATATGGAAATGTTTGAAGCAATTGGTTTTTTAGCTATCAAACTTGGTGTGATTCCTTCGGATTTTAGTTATGCAGGCCTTAAAGACAAGAAAGCCATCACCTATCAAGCAATGGTTGTTAGAAAAGTGACTCCAGAGAGGTAATAAGATATTGCTTTGTAAGATAGAATTTTACTTCTATGTTGCATCATAAGTAAATATAAGATCAAAAGCGCAGAATACTGGGAGCATATTAACCTCACTATCAGTATTAATTAATTGATTACAGGCTTACTAAGCAGTACATCATGCATTAACAATATAATTATCTTCTAAATAGAGTTATATTCTAAATTTACAATGAAAATATAGCAAGTTTTAGGATAGGAACTTTGAAAAGCAGCAGATTTAAAATAGCGAAATTGTTTCTAAACATCCTGTACTATATTCAAATGCATTTATATTCAGGAAACTGTCTTATAAGTCATTTTTTCCTAATTCTTAGGATACTTTTATGCCTTTATTATCATGGATCCTTACATATTAAGTAAATCCTCGTTTAGTAGAATGTAAAGTACTCAAATTTAGAATCCTAATCAGCTTAATCAAATTTTTGAAATATTTTTTGTAATTATAGGAGAAATACACATGTATTGTAGATTCAGAAAATAGTAAAAAGTTAAATCATTAATATTCTACTACAATAATATCTTGATCTATTTCTTTTCAGACTTTTTTCAGAGACTACACCACACATATCACACAAAGACATTGATTATATATATGAAAATCATACTGCATATGCAGTTTTATTTTACTTTTTAAAATAAAATAATATTGTTATATGAAAATTTATGTCATGGAATATTTCAAAATCATGCTCATCATATAGACTAATTTGTTTAACATTCCCCTGTGTGTGAAAACAGAAATTCTTTGTAATTTTTCACTGTAAATAACACTGTGATTAGGGCTGGCTGGTTAGCTCAGTTGGTTAGAGCGCAGTGTTAAAACACCAAGGGTTCATATCTCCATACCGGCCAGCTGCCAAAAAAAAATCCAAAACCAACCAAACAAAGATAATACTGTTATTAATATTCTTGTATTTAAATCATAGATACTTTCCTTTAGAAAGTATCTAAATTTCAAAAAGTTGAGAAATTGGGCCAAAATCCAGCCTAATTTAATGTGATATTGATATATCAATCCTTAGTTACCAGATGTTTGTGCCCACTGTTTGCAAGTAGACTCTTCTAAATGCTTCTAAGCTGTTACATGAGGGAGAAAAACATATATGATTTTGTCTTTATGGTGAAGAAGTGTAAGAGAGAAGGACCGTAGATGTTAAAATATGTGTAAGACAAAAGCTAGCTTTTAACTACTAAAGTTAATAAATGTTATTAGTTCCTAGGAGGAGAGATTACTTTGATTTTGCTTATGGTGCAGGTTTCTAATTACCCTTCAAGTAATAGTAGCATTTCAGCAGATGCAAAAAATCTGGATGTCTATTTGCAGGGGTAGTAAACTAATAAGACAGTTTGAATAAGGACTACAGAAAATATGGGTGTAAAGGAAAATTTGCATGAGCTCTTACAGAACCTTAAAAGTTATGCCAAGAACATTGGAATCTACTCTTTAAATGTAGGGGAAAAAATGAAAGATAGAGTAAAGAAGTATTCAGAGCAGAATTTCAGAAAAATCCTCTGGTGCTAATGGTTTTTCTTGCTTATGTTGGGGGAAGAAAGACTGAGAATGAAAGGAGCAGAATCTGGGGATAAGACAGGAGAACTGGTAGGAGGTTTTGTCACTTGACCTAAGAAGTCAGAAGGCCTACATAGATAGAATGATAGTGTTAATAATACATGTTCAAGTTCTTAAGATAATTCTGTTAACTAATTCTATACTATGGGTAGTTCACATTTGTAGAATATTCCAAAAACATTTTGTATTAGTATTCTGTTATAAGGGGTTGCCTGCAACTGTCATGTAAAACCTTACATTAAAATCGTTTTTAAATGTGAGATTTAACTGAGTCTATATGATGTATCACTTTCAGGCTGAAAAATATTGAAAAAGAAATTGAAAAGAAAAGAATGAATGTGTTTAATATTCGCTCTGTAGATGATTCCCTTAGACTTGGTCAGCTCAAAGGAAATCACTTTGATGTTGTCATCAGAAATTTAAAAAACCAAATAAATGATTCTGCAAACCTGAGAGAGAGAATTTTGGAGGCAATAGAAAATGTTAAGGTAAGAAAACTCACTTTTAAAATAGAATGTTACAGGAAAATCTTCATAGTCCCTTTTACGTTGAGGCAAGAAGGGAAACTTTCCTTTTTCATTTGTGCTTTTTTAGTGCATGTGTAATTATTTTTTTAAATGATCATTAGGGCCATTTGCCTTATTTTTTATTTCCTTAATACATTTTTATATTAAAATGAAACATAATCATAATTTTTAAAATATGACATATGGAGTTCCCCAGAGGAGGGGGAATAATCTATGTGCAGGAGAAGAGAGGGGTTTTTTTTGCATCTGCTATGTAGAGTAATATTTTTGTCATGAGAATTAATTTTTTTGGAAATATTGTTCAGTAATTCTTTTCAAAAATTTTTGGTTGTTATATTACTTTTCAGAATTATACACTTATTTTTCCTTTTAATCTAATTTTGAATTTTTTAATGTAAAAAAAATTGGAGTATGGCTGTGTTCCAATAAAACTTTATTTACAAAAACAAGTGTTGGCTCAGATTTGACCTGTGGGCTAAAGCTGTTTGCCAAACCCTGATCTAGATCGGTAATTCTCAACCTGGGGAGCTTTTAAAACATTTCAGCAGTCAATCTCTACGTCCAAACCAACCTAAATAATCTTCATAGTCCCTCTTAAGAGTTAACATTTTAGGAACAATTTTTCAGGGAGGAAAAAAGCAGAACTGTAAGTGGGTCAAGAAAAAAAAGGTAAAAGCCATTTGAGGGTACAGCTTAGTCATTAATATTTTTAAACAACTCCTTAAGTGATTCTACTCTACAGCCAGCATTGAGAAACACTGATCAGAGTTTCTGACCACAAAGACCTTTTTATACAACTTTATATATTTCTAGCAGGAAAACAAACAAAAATTGGTTTTAATATGCCTTACAGTCAGGAAAATATCTTCTGACTAATGCTCTTTTAAATTCATCAGTTTCACCTGTGCATAGTAGTTCTCTGATTGTATACTCTTTATATAACTTTTACCTTTTTTTCTAGACTTACTTAAAATTTAGCTTCCCCCCCCCCAAAAAACTGTTCCTAAAATGTTACTTCTTAAAAAAAGGAAGGGTTTTCTCTGAACTCTATTAGCATTTATTCCCTTTCATTTGGTTTTTATGAATAGACAGATGCCTATTACAAAATTCCCATTAGAAATAATCTTAGGGGCCGGCCTGGTGGCGCACTGCTACAGTGCGCCGCTTGGGAGCATGGCGGCGCTCCCGCCGAGGGTTCGGATCCCACATACAGACCGGTTCCCGCTCACTGGCTGAGTGAGGTGCGGGCGCAACACCGAGGGTTGCAATCCCGTGCCGGTCCCGGTCCGGTACGGGCGCGACACTGAGGGTTGCGATCCGTTGCCAGACACGAAAAAAGACAAAAAAGGAAAAAAAAAAGAAATAATCTTAAATTTAGCCAACTTTCATTTAGTTCTCATTATAAGGGAAAGGAGTTGAGAAACCCTGAAAGTAAGGAGTCTTTGAAGTTTTGTTTTTGAAGATTATATCTCTGGTAGTCAAGACCTCTCGTTATGAAATCTAAGTAATTTGAAGAGATAGTTAAAACTCTTTTGGCTACTCTAGGATATTATCTGATGTTATTTTTCCAAATGTGAAAGAATTAAAAATATTTAACTATGAAATTTAATTTTAGAAGTACTTATTTTATCTGCAGTTGATTTTTGCGAATGACATGAGGTAAGGAAGCAGTTCCTTTTGCACCATGCTTGTAAGAAATTGTCTTAGCATCTTTTATTGAACAGTCCTTGAGTTGGTGTTCAATAATTGTTGACTGAATAAATGTATACTCCCCTCATAAAATGAGTGCGGAGGACTCTTATCTTTCTAGAAGCCATATGGGCCTACTGTTTTCTTTGAGAGAACATATTTAAACACTGACCAATATCTTTAATGGTTGCAGTGGTAAATTATAATTTTCTATTTCTTTTGAGTAATGTGGCAGTTTTAAAACATGGCCTCAAAATTCACCTCCATCAAGAAATGAAGTCTGTGTTACTCACCTGGAATCTAGGTACAGAAATACCTTGACCAAGTAACTGCGGAAGTGACACCATTGTTGTGGCCCAGGCTTAAAGAAAATGAGGTGGTCTAAAGAACCAGTCGTTTAAATGTATGTATATAAGGGAGCCAGGACTTGTGGAGTTTGAAAATAAATCTGTTTTGTTGTTGTTGTTGTGCCCAATATCTCCAGACAGCAGAAGAGACTCAAAATTAGGAAAGAACTTTGGGGCAGGGATCAAATCCATGTACTAGGCAACCAATTCATTGAGTTTGCCTAGAACTTTCCTAGTTTTAGCACTGGAAGTCCCACATCCTAGGAAACCCCTCAGTAATGTGAATGGAAAGCTGACATATTTCTCAAGCATTCTTCACTGGCCTTACATTCTCTTAATTATGTGTTCTTCTTTCTGTTCTTTAACTGTACAGCATTTCTGAGACGATTTGGTTCCTATGCTTATACCGATGCTTACAGGATTCTTTTATTAAAATAAATATAAAGAGAATGATTTGATTACATACTTTGGCATTGTATTTATACACTTTTAATTTCTTGATTATTTTGTATACATAGAATAAAGGCTTTCTGAATTACTACGGCCCACAGAGGTTTGGGAAGGGAAGGAAAGTTCACACAGACCAAATCGGACTGGCATTGCTAAAGAGTGATATGGTATGGATTTTAAAATATAATCTTATCTGTTTTGTTACTTATGCTTATTACATAAGCCAGCCCCTTGCTTTCCTAATCCTAGCATATAACAACATATTATATCATTGAACAATTATTAAGCAACTACTGTATTCTTGGTATCACATTACAGGAAAGCAAACTGTGTACAATGTTTTTGTGTTTAATACTTATTTGAGACTTGACAGAGAATTGACTATCACTCTTCAAATTCTTGGTAAACAGATTTAGAGGAAGCTTACACCCTGCAATTCCAGAAATCAGGTATCAGCTCATATAAAAGATAGTAATTCACCCAAGTCCAAAGACTAAAAGGAGAACAGCAAATCTGACTAGTCTCAAATGAAACTAAAAATACATACGACAAATAAGAAGCTGCATTTGCCCAAATATTAAAAGTGTGTGTATGTATATAGACTTTAAATATATATTATATATATATACTTACATAATTATATTTTATAGATACGCATATGTTTTTACACTGAAGTGGAGTACACATATTGGAGGAAAACTACAAAACTATAAAAATTATATATTTGAACAAATGCAAGATTATTCATATGATAGTATCATGCTCACTCATTTGTGTTCTAATAAGTTTTCTTGAGTGGAAGCAAAAGGAACAGTAATAGAACTTGTGAGAAGCATTCTGCATTGAACATTATCTTACATATGGAAATAAGGTTGAGAGCTGATGATTTAGACCACATCTGTAAATCTATAGTCAGTTTTAGGTTTCATATTTCAAGAATTAATGATTTTAGCCACTGGAATATATCTGATATGGTAAAGGGTTTAGAAATACATTGATGAGAAATGAGTTTTGTTTTCTCTTTTTTTGTTTTTTGTTATTTTTTCTTTTTATCATTGGTTATGAATATTCATGGGGTACAAAGCTGACTGTCATCACTCATGCCAGATCAATACTGGCAGCATGCCATTACCAAGATTGCGATTATACTCCATGTCCCTCAACCAGTTAATCCCTGACTTCCCTCCCCTTTTCCCCACCCCCCTTTGTATCCCTAGGTATGCTCTCTCCCTCTGCAAGTCCAACACACCACTGTGGTCTTTCTTTCTTTCCTTCTTTCTCTCTTACCTTCCACTTATGAGTGAGGACATGTAGTATTTTTCCCTCTGTGCTTTGCTTATTTCACTCAATATAAGTTTCTCCAAGCTCATCTATGTTGTTGCGAATGGCAGAATTTCATTCTTTTTTATGGCAGAGTAGTATTCCATGGTGTGTGTGTGTGTGTGTGTGTGTGTGTGTGTGTGTGTGTGTGTGTGTGTGTGTGTGTACACCACATTTTCTCTACCCAGTCATCCATTGGTGGACATTTAGCTTGGTTCTATGTCTTGGCTATTGTAAACAGAGCTGCGATGGATATGGGAGTGTAGATATCCCTTCAACATGATGATTTGCATTCCTTTGCATATATACTGAGAAGTGGGATTGCTGGCTTGTATGCAAGATCTATCTGTAGTTGTCTGGAAAACTCCATAACGTTTTCCATGGTGGTTGTACTTACTTCCAGTCCCACCAACAGTGTAGGAATGTTCTCTTCTCTTCACATCCTTTTTAGCATTTGTTATTCTCTGTATTTTTGATAATAGCCAGTCTAACTGGGGTGAGGTGATATCTCATTGTGGTTTTAATTTGCATTTCCCTGATGTTTAGCGATGGTGAGCATTTTTTTTAAGTGCCTGTTGGCCATTTGTATGTCTTCCTTTGAAAAATGTCTGTTCAGCTACTTTGCCCGTTTTTTAATTGGGGTATTTGTTTTTTTACTGTGTAATTTCTTGAGTTTCTTGTATATTCTGGATATTAATCCTTTGTTGGATGTGTAGTTTGCAAAAATTTTCTCCCACTCTGTAGGTTGTCGTTTCACTCTTTATTATTTCCTTTCCTGTGCAGAAGATTTTTAGTTTGATATAGTCCCATTTGCTTATTTTTTTCTTTTGTTGCTTGTGCTTTTGGGTTCATGTTATAAAGTATGTGCCAGACCTAGTTCCTGAAGTATTTCCCCTATATTTTCCCTTAGTAATTTTACAGTTTCAGGTCTTATATGTAAGACTTTAATCCATTTTGAGTTGATTTTAGTATATGGTGAGAGGTGCATATCTAGTTTCTTTCTTCTGCATATGGATATCCAGTTTTCCCAGCACCACTTATTGAGATGAGAAATGTTTAACTGAACACTGGTTCAGAGAAAACTGAACACTGGTTCAGAGAAAACTCTGAAGAGGAAATTAACTTACAAAATGTTTGAAATTTTGTCATATGGAAGAATTTAGTAGTTTGGGGTCTGTGGGATGCAGCATATGTTCTACTTGAGTTCCACCATTTGCCAAATGTGCTATTGTAGGAAGGTTACCTGACTTTTCCAAGCCTTGATTTCCTTATCTGTAAAAGGAGATAACGTATAAATAACAACATTTTTGTGAGAAGTAAATGAAATAACTTTTGTGAGGGCACCTAGTGCAGTGCTAGACCCACAGTAGGCAAGTGTTGGCAAATATGATTGGACTAGTAATGCTCTGGTTTTACAAGGGTAGAAATTCAAGGGGGCAAGTTGTAGTCTAGTGCAGGAAAGACTTTTCTAACAATTGTTCAAAGGAATGGTATTCTTCCCCCAAAGAACTGGAATCTTCTGTTTCTTACAGCATTTAAGCAAAAGCTGGATGCTACTGTCCCACCTCTTTCATATTTCGTAGTACACGCTCCTGAATTTTAAAAAAATTTTGCTTGAGTATAAGTTATCAATGATCACTGTGTAACAAATTACCCCAAAACATAGTAGCTTAAGACAACAAGCATTATCTCATTATTTCTGAGAGTCAGGAATCTGGGAGCAGTTTAACTGGGTGGTTCTGGATCATGGTCTCTCATGAGGTTGCAGTCACACTGTTGGCCAGAAAAAGAAACTGGAGGGGGAGATTAGGTTGAATGACGTATTTTGATAAAGTTTAAGATTATTTTCTACTCTCAGACACATATATAGAAATAAATCCAGTGCTGGAGACAGTGATAAAATACAGGAACTAGTAGATGCCATTTTTTTTTTAAAAGGAACATCTTTCAATCTATTTAGAATTTAAAATTAAATATTAAATTTGGCAGTTTTTTTCATTAAGATTTCGGCAATAGGATGGAGAAGAAGGATGGAAGAGAAGTTGGTCAATGGGTATAATGTTATAATTAGAAAGGAAGAAAAAGTTTTGGTGTCCTATTGCACAGCAGGGTAACTGTAGTCAACAAAAAGGTATTGTATATCTCAAAATAGCTAGAAGAGAGAATTTTGAATGTTCTCACCACAAAGAAATGAGAAGCATTTGAGGTGATGGATATGCTAATTACCCTGACTTGATCATTATGCAATGTATCAGAAACATCACATACCCCATATTATGTACAATTATTATGTATCAATTAAAAATAAAAGTAAAAAGATTTAGGTAATTATTTTTAAGTCCAAAGAATTCAGGGAATGGAGAACACAAATAAAATGAATGGCTTGCCATTCTCCTGTGCTTGCTTCCTCCCCGTTTTTGTTGTGTGTGTTGGTCAGGTCTGAGTATCTATGTCATTACTTCACACTCACTTCATAGCTCAGTGACAGAAGTGGAGGTAAAGAATGACAGAAGTACAACTATGGGGGCCGGCCCGGTGGCGCACTGCTACAGTGCGCCGCTTGGGAGCGCAACGGCGCTCCCGCCGAGGGTTCGGATCCCACATACAGACCGGTTCCCACTCACTGGCTGAGCGAGGTGCAGGCGCGACACTGAGGGTTGCGATCCCGTTGCCGGTCCCGGTCCGGTACGGGCGCGACACTGAGGGTTGCGATCCGTTGCCGGTCACGAAAAAAGACAAAAAAAAAAAAAAAAAAAGAAGAACAACTATGGAAGGGGTGAGGGGAGCAGCTTGGGGAGTCCTTTTTCCAGTCCATAATTTAAACCTATGTATAAAGTTACTTTGTCCAGAAGGTTCATTTCTACATTTCACATTGACCTGAAATTTTGAAAGCCTGAAGAGAAAATTGCAGCATCAAATATCATTTATTAAATACCCGTTCTTTTGAGATGCCAGAGAATTTGCATCTTTTTCTAAAACGTAATTTGAAATTTTCATTTAACGTGTGTTGTATGTTTGCTTGCTTGATTTTTCAAGGTGAAGGCCATAAAACTATTTCTTACACCAGAAGACTTGGATGATGCTGTAAATAGAGCAAAGAAATACTTTCTTCAAACTGGTATTTAAATTTCTTTACCCCATACATAGCTATGCAGATACACAATATATATGTTATATTTGCAAGAGGGCATTCATTGCAGCATAAAATGTGATATGAAATAGATTGTGATATGATATATTGTATATATGAGAGTACTTCAAAAAATTCATGGAAAGATTCATATTATCTTTTAGTTCTATTTTTCCAGGAACTTTATCAAGTACCCTTGTATATAATATATGTGTTATATATTGTATCATTTTATTATACAACCTAGAAATTTCATTTTTGGCCAGATCTCTGGGACTTTTACCTGTTTAACTCTTGCTTATGGGTAGGGGCAAGGGGAAATATAGTTTTAGTTTTTCTTGGCTGAAATCCTGTGAGAAGAGAGGAGTTCCAAATTCTAAATTGGTACTTACGGCGGTACTCATATAATTCACTACAACTGGAGGAGATTACAACATAAATTAAGTAAAAGTTTATTTACGATATTCCATACTTTATGTACTGTGTTTGATCTAGCTGCCATTTAGCCCTGACTGTCAACTTTAAAAACTTTAGATCAGTGTGATGGTGTATATGTGGAATGCTTCATGGGAAGCACTGAAGGAAAGTGGTTGTGCATGTGGCTAGAGTCAGACTGCGTGGGTTTAATTCTCAGTTTTCATACTTTCCAACTGTACAGTCTCATGCAAGTGATTTAACCCCGGTGTTTTAGTTTCCTTATCTGTAAATAAAAACTGATAATGGTACCTAAAAGACTGTTCTGAGATTTAAATAATATAATAGATCTAGCACTCTTAAAATAGTGCCTGGCACATACTACATACTGGATAAATATTACTTGTATGTAAACAATAGCAACAACCATACCACTTCAGGTTCATTCAAATATCTGATCTAAGCGCATGGACATACTGAATTTTACTTACATTGAAATAAAGGACATCAGTTTTCAAATATCTCTATTCATTATTTTAAATTATGTACATATATGTAATTACTCACAAGAGAGTAATGTTTTTGTGCTACATCACGATGTGTGAACAGTGTGGGCATTTTTAACTGTAATGAGTCACCTAAGTAATACAAAAGAAAGTTCAAAGTGACTTATTGGGTTTTATCTCTGTTGCAGAATCCTGAGAAGATAATTTCCTCATGGAAATGATTTTTAAACTTTAGTGTGGCTAAGAAACACCTGGTACATTTATTAAAAATATTGATTCCAAGGCCCTACCTGAATAAGCATCTTTGTGATGGAGTCCAGTAATCTACATATTAAAAAGCTTCCCATTAGCGAAGCCTAATAGTATACGTGAAGGATCCAGATAGCAACCATTTCTTATTCAAAACATTTTGTGCATATGTTCATAATAGCTCTTTAAAAATCTCTAGCCTCTACCTGCTCAGGGTCTATTTAATCCTTGGGGGGTGGGGGTGGGGGGTCGTTTTGACAATCCTCCAAATAACTGCAAGTTAGTTTATCTGTATTCTTAAGTCAGGAACTCTGGCAAGCCGTTAGGAGTGTTGGGCTTTTGTGCTTTTGTTTTGCTGTGTTTTAAAGCAGGGAAAGTAAAAGGAGGGCCTTACAATGAATGACCTAAAAAAAAAAGAAAAATTCTTCGAGCATAACTGTATTTACCTGATAGTGCTGAGCATCATCTTCATATTCATGTTCATTACCTTTCATTTAGAGAGCATAACACAGGGCTTTATAACTGACCTTTACATAAAAGGGGCTGATCATTTGATTTTCTCTTCACTTCAGAGGATGCTAAAGGCACGCTTTCATTGATGCCTGAGTTCAAAGTTCGAGAGAAGGCATTGTTGGAGTCGCTGCATCGCTTTGGCATGACTGAGGAGGGTTGTATCCAGGCATGGTTCTCTCTTCCCCATTCCATGCGCGTATTCTACGTTCACGCATACAGCAGCAAAGTTTGGAATGAGGCGGTATCTTACAGGTTCGCAACCTATGGATCAAGAGTAGTGGAGGGGGATTTGGTCTGTTTGGATGAAGATGTTGGTGATGAGCATCTTCCAAATAGTAAAGTAAGTATCATTTCGTCAGTTTTCCAAGAGTAGTTACCACACCACAAACATTAATTTTCAGAAGCCCTGATTTTAGAAACACTTTCAAACTGAAAGTACCTTTTTAAAAAACTTATATTTACTCATCCGCTTCTACTCTGCTGTCAGTTAATGCTTAAGACACGTTGATAAATGGAAAAATAAAAATAGTCAGTTGTATGATGTGAAAGTTACAAAGGTAGTAAAGTTTCCTTTAAAGAATACTTTTTAAAAAAATTGCACATATAATGCACAAAATAGTCCTCTTAAAAATAAAAATCAAAACATTACCGTCATCCCTGCTGCCACTCTAATGTGATTCCCTCCCCTGCCTCCAGAGAATCAACCTCTGTTGTTTGGTGTGTGTCCTTCTAGACCTTTCTCTGTGCTTTCATATAAATGTTCAGAAAATAGATTTTTATTCCATAAATTAACACTGAGAAAAGAAAAGGCAGGACTTAGAGGCTCAAAACTTAAAATTGAAAAGGAAAAACAGTTAAGGTTTTTATAATAATGGTATATGGGGCATGTGATGTGTGTGTTTCTTTTATACAAATATGATTTTATAATTTGTTTTTTCCTCTTAACAATGTCTTGGAGACATTTATATTAATGAAACAATAATATAATTTATATGATAAAAGTTGATTCTTCCATTTCCTCCCTGTTCAACTAGTATTGTTATCTCTGGGTTTGTACTAATGAAACTGGATTCCGTAAGTCATACAAGGAAATGTATATTGTAATGCAATGAAAAAAAAAATTATTATTCTCCAACATTATCATGTTAGTCTCACAAATAAATTTTAAAAATTAGAGAAAGAATTTGAGTAGTGCTTGCTTGCATATGTAATATCATAAAATCATTGAATTTTAGAGGAGAAAAGGATTAGAGAAACCCTCTTTTCTAACTCTCATTACACAGAAATGAGCATTGAGACCCAGATTGGAGAGGAGACAGATTCAGCGTCACACAGATAGCAGAACTAAAAACCCCTGACTCCTAGCACAAATTGGTCTTCACTGGAGAAATCATGGATTATGTCAAAAGTATCAGCATTGAAAGCTAGAACATAGCCCAGTTTTTCAAAAATAGAGAAAAAATACTCAACTCTACATAAAGGAAGCTTTATCTAAATTAATAGCAGAGCTTTTAGGTGTATGAATTAAGGTTTTTTTTTTGTTTTTTTTTTTTTTGGTTTCAAGTAATAGAAACCCACCTCAAACTAATTTAAGGTAAAATTAACAGGAATTTATTGGCCCTCATAACTCAAAGTCCATGATTGATTCAGGCACAGCTGTATCCAGGGGCTTAAGCAGTGTCCTAAATAATCTATCTCTTTTTTTTAATCTTTCAGCTCTGCTTTTCTCTGTGTTAGATCCATTCCCAGTCTGGTTATACCTTTGGAGGCAAGATGGATGATTATTAGCAACTCTACGCTTAATTCTCACAACTCTAGACTGACTTCTCTGTAGGAAAGAGTGCTTTCCTTTCCCTATAGCGTCAACAAAAGCTGTGGAATTGCGTCTCAGTAGGAGTGGCCTGGCCTGGGCCAAATGTCCAGAACCAAACCAATTAGTATGTGCTGGAGTATGCGATTGGCTACCACATACTTCCTGGAACCACTCCATCTAATCCACGTATTATTAGCAACTCTAGGCTTAATTCTCACAACTCTAGACTGACTTCTCTGTAGGAAAGAGTGCTTTCCTTTCCCTATAGCGTCATCAAAAGCTGTGGAATTGTGTCTCAGTAGGAGTGGCCTGGCCTGGGCCAAATGTCCAGAACCAAACCAATTAGCATGTGCTGGAGTATGCGATTGGCTACCACATACTTCCTGGAACCACTCCATCTAATCCACGTCTGAGAACTGGGCGGATTTGCTACCACCAGAAAAAAAAGGCAGTAAAGGTCCACCAGCCAGAACAACAGATGTTTGCTTTAATTTTTTATTAAGTGGATGGTTTATGAATATTTAAATAAAGTGATGACGAGGAGGCAGCATATATTACTAAGAATGGTCATTTAATTGAGGCATAGACTCTCAAACTCTGTGTGAAAAGAAATCTAGCAGCATTGTAGGTTTTATTTGACCTTATATCAGGGAGAAGAGATATATCAGTGATTCCCTTTTGATAAATAATGAAAAATCAGGGTTTTAAAAAACACCTTCCAGAAAACACGTCCATTTAAATATTACCTGGGCAACACATTATGTAGTATCAGCAGTTTCTAATTCAGATGATTAGAAGATTACTTTCACAAGGTGTAGCAACAATCTCAGAAATGCATGTGTTTTATAAGACTTCTTTGTCCAAAATAACATTTGCAAGGACAGTTTTCTGATCAGAATTGTAACTGCTTTTCTATTTGGAGCTGTAGGAGAAGAGAACATTTCTCGTTTATATCTTGCAGAGTTTCTTTTTACTAGCAGCAAAAAAAAGGTCTTTATTTCAAGGCAGTCATTTATATTTTATTAGTTAGCACTGAAGAAAGAAAAGGCAGGACTTAGAGGCTCAAAATGTAGAATATGAAAAAGAAAAAATATGATTCCTAATAAATGGTATATGGGACATGTAATATTGTGCATCTCTAATTAAAAATTGTAGGAAACTAATCTGATTCCCTCCTTTGATAGAACTACTGGACTAACAGGTGTATCTTTATTTCAAGTCACTCGGTAGATTCTCTTTTAATTTTTTGTGAAAATGTGAGTTAGATAATTAAAAGGTTAGGCGAATTCATAGTTGGGGAGCAGCCATACAGCAAAAGCATCTTCGTTAATTAATTGCTTGATATCAGCCCAGAGGGAGCTCTCTAAAGACAAAGAATGGTGTTCTGTTCTTGACCATGTTTTTCAGTATTTTCATAAAATCCTTAAATCCCAGTATTGTGAGTATGCTTATGACTCTGTGCAAGACAAACAGCTGGAAGTGATGATGCAAGAAGAGATGATAATCCCATGTAGTTTGTCTGTCTCACATACTCTGTTCAGATCACATCTGAAGTTTTATATTCATTTCTGAGTGCAGTAGTTAAAAGGGATTATTTACCAATAAACAAACTCAAAATGAAAAACAAAAAAAGAGAGACATTATTGATCAGAGTAGGAAGAAGTGAGGGCAAAGCAAGCAAATTTAGAGAGGATCTAAATACTGTATTATATGATGAATGTCTTAGGAATATGGGAATGCTGATAGCTGCCTTTATACTTGAGCTTTCATGTACAAGATAAATCAGAATTATTTATTCTTGATGTCCTAGGGCAACATTTCTCTAACTTAATTCATCACACATCTTTTTTCTTTTTCTCTGATACCTATTACTATTTTGTGAAACAAAGATTGAGAAACACCACTCCTGCATAGAGTATTAGGATAGTTTTTGGAGACAGAGGTTGGTGGAGGTGTGGGGGTTGGTTTTACAGAAGCAGGAAGAATCATGCTAAGTTATATGTAGTCTACTCCTCCAGAAACAAATTAGGAAAAGATCTTGTTTGGGTACGTGTATATTTGGCATAGGAATCATATAACAGAGTTAGGGAAAATTGAGGGAATTTGGGACATTTGTGAATCATCCATATTTTCATCATGTTTTTAAAAAATAGGTTCATCTGGTAACTGAAGAAGAGGAATCAGCTAATACATATGCAATATATCAGGTAAGTTTGCTTAACAATTACTATCACTTAGATCTAAGTGTACACATTGTCCCCAAAAGACAAAATGTTGCCCAATACCCCCCCCTTTTTTTGTCTTTTTTTTTTTTTTTTTTCCGTGTCCGGCAACGGATCACAACCCTCAGTGTCGCCCCCGTACCGGACCGGGACCGGCAACGGGATCGCAACCCTCGGCATTGCCCCCACGCCTCGCTCAGCCAGTGAGTGGGAACCGGTCTGTATGTGGGATCCGAACCCTCGGCGGGAGCGCCGCCGCGCTTCCCAAGCGGCGCGCTAGCGCAGTGTGCCACCGGGCTGGCCCCTTTTTTAAACTTTTTTATTTGGGTATAGTATATATGTAATAAAATTAATTCTTCTTAGTTTACAGTTCTACAAGTTTTGATAAATGTATACAGTCATATGACCACCACAAAAATCAGTATAAAGAACAGTTTTATCTCTCCCCCAGATATCCCTGTGCCCCTTTGTAGTTAACCCTCACCCCTATTCCCAGCCCTGGAAATCTATTTTCTATCGTGTGGTTTTGTATTTGTAAGAATGTCATATAAATGGAATCATACAGTAAATGGCCTTTTGTGTCTGGCTTCTTGTACTTCGCATAATGAATTTGAGAGTCAATCATGTCGTGTATGTTTGAGTTTTTTTACTTTATTGCGCAGTGCGCCACCGGGCTGGCCCCTTTTTTAAACTTTTTTATTTGGGTATAGTATATATGTAATAAAATTAATTCTTCTTAGTTTACAGTTCTACAAGTTTTGATAAATGTATACAGTCATATGACCACCACAAAAATCAGTATAAAGAACAGTTTTATCTCTCCCCCAGATATCCCTGTGCCCCTTTGTAGTTAACCCTCACCCCTATTCCCAGCCCTGGAAATCTATTTTCTATCGTGTGGTTTTGTATTTGTAAGAATGTCATATAAATGGAATCATACAGTAAATGGCCTTTTGTGTCTGGCTTCTTGTACTTCGCATAATGAATTTGAGAGTCAATCATGTCGTGTATGTTTGAGTTTTTTTACTTTATTCCTTTTTCTGACTACCTTTTGGTAACATTCAAGAAAACTTGTCTAGAAGTCATCAGCAAAGGAGGAAAACCCCACAAAATGCAGTGTTTACTCACAAGCAGCTGAGAGAATAAACATTATATTTGCTGCTGCTTGTTTGCTTGCTTTTTAAAAAATAAGAAGAGTTTAAAATTGTCAACCAATACACCAGCCATATGATTGATCAGTAGAGGTTACTCTTTGTGTTACAGAAAGAGTATGCTTTTAGGATTGCATGATTTCATAGAGATTAAGTCTTTATTGGCTAATTAAATGTGCCTAAACTTCTTGAATAGTGGTTTGTCCAGTAATATCTAACTTGAGTTGGTTAAGTTGGTTATTGTGAGTCCTCGATTTTAGTTAGTTATTTTCTCTACCTGGTAGCATTAAAGATATCATAGTGCAGTATTATTCAAAGCATGCTTAGGCTGATTGTGATATTTATATCCTGAGACTATTTTTACAGATCCAGGTCCCAGTCATAAAAGTGATCATATATCTTTCTGAAGGTTGTTTCATGTATGTTTTTTTCCTTCCCTCTCACAGGTGGTTCTTCCAGTACTTGGGTACAATATTCAGTATCCGAAGAACAAAGTAGGGCAGTGGTACCATGATGTACTTAGCAGAGATGGACTACAGACATGTAGGTTTAAAGTACCTACACTGAAACTGAAAATACCAGGATGCTATAGACATATTTTGAAACATCCTCATAATCTCACATACCAACTAATGGAAGATCATGACATTGATGTCAAAACAGAAGATTCCCACACAGAAGAAGCAACTTTGTCTCTTTTGGTCTCTTTTGATCTTGATGCTTCGTGTTATGCTACAGTTTGTCTGAGAGAAATAATGAAGCATGACGTTTAAACTGATACCCTTGGTATAATCATGTGTATGTCACTCTGAAGGAAAGGGAGCTAAAATTTCTGAAGCACCTGCCATGTGCTAGGAGCTTCATAATTGTTATCTCCTTTAATTTTCAAAGCATCCTGAAAAGTTGGAATTTGATGCTGTAATGTTCCAGAGGACATATAGCTAGTAAGTGTCAGGGTCTAAATTTAAGATCTGTCTGACTCCAAATCCTATGCTCTTTCTGTTATACAGTGCTTCAGTGACCTTTATTCTGTCATAAAAGTTACAATCTTTTTAAATGATTAGAAACATATAATACTGTAAGACAACATTTAAGAAAAAAAAAATTGTGAAGTAATGTTCATATCCTCTAGCTCCTTGCTTAGAACATAAATGAATATAGGTTGCAGTGATGAAAGCATATGGTTGGAGAGAAAGACAAATGAAGCACTGTGCTAATTATTGTCATCCTTTCCTAGTTTTGAAATTATTGATCAGAACAATACACAAAAGAATCCCTTTGTTTATGATAGCTACCCAAAGGTAGTTATTACCTCTTTATGAGATAAATAATCTTTGATGAAGATTAAAATAAAATTTTTCATACAGTTTCTATATCTTGACATACATTGACACTCTTGACTATTTGTAATTTTTTTTCTATTATCTAAAACACAAATTTTAGAGTCAGACAGATCTATCTTTAGACTCCAGCTTTAACACTTACTGGTAACTTTGGGTATGTTATTGATTCTTTTTGAGGGTCACTGAAAGAATCAAGACAATACCAACTTCATAAATGACAAATAATAGGATTCTCTCTACTTTTATGTTGCTAACAGAAGAAAACATTTCGCACATTTGAAAAGTTTGAATTTTGTTTTTTAACTATCCCACATCATAAATCATCCTTAACCCTTTTATATCAGTTCAATTTATGGGGGAAATGACTGGTATGCATTGATTGGAAAGATCTGAGTATTCTTTCATTGCTGGTAATATATAATGACGAAATTTAAAAGGCAGTATAGAAGACTGTATATCAGTAACATGGCCCTTTATATACTTGAGTCAAACCATTTTGTAGGATATTAGCATAAGGAAATAAAATACAAAAGAAGAAAAAAGCTATATGCAATGCAAAATTTCCTTATTGCACCACTTTTACATATAATAAAAGAAATTAGAAATAGTTTCATTGTCCAGCATTAAATAATTAAAATAAGTAAAACGAGATGCCAACTTGATGGCAAAACATGTAGTTATTAAAAATGGTAATGTCCCAACTAACCAACAAAGAGGAAAAAACAAAGAAAAAATGGTGATGAATTATTTAGTTACATGCAAAAATGTCCCAAAAGCAGAACACATGTATTACAATTGCAGTAATACACTGAATTCAGCTTTTACAAATGAGAGGCACATTAGCACAGTGATTAAAAGCATAGATATTGGATACAAACTCCCTGTTTGAACCCTGGCTCTGCCACTAACACCAATGTGTCCTTGAGCAAGTTATTTAAGCTCAAGTGCTTCAGTTTCAACATCTGTAAAATGGAGATGTTAATATTCTCTATATCATAGGAATCTTCTGAGGACTTTCTGAGTTAATATATGTAAAGCAGCTCTAAAAAGTGTTAAAAAAGTGTCTGCAGATTCAAGTTTGGAAGACAAAGAAAAAAATGAAAATGTTCTGTTAAGATGATGGGGTGTTTTAATTTCTTTTTAATATTGAAATGTTCCTTTTTTGTCATTATATATTTTAGCAATAAATAAATCTCAACACAAAAAGTTGGATATTGTAGTACCACTGATTTTAAGAAATGACCCTTGGAATTTTAATGTTTATTGAGAATGAAGTAATGCTCTATTAGGTAATAAAAAAGTTAGAAAAAATATTTTAACTTTATTTCACTTGATAAATTATATCCTGTAAAAGTAATCAGAAAATAAAATATATAAATTATTAAATACTAATTCTCTTTTAAATGTTGAGTAGCAATTGGAAGATCTGAAAGCATTAAATATGCTATCATTTATATTATTTTCTGTGCCTGTAGATGGCACTATAATTTTAGATATTTATTTAGTAAACACTTTGGCCATGCATAAAGAAAAGGATCACTAAATTTATTTCAAGTCACCATAAAATGTATTCATATATTGTTCATATGGAAAATTATTTTTTATACCAATAATATTTGCCATATTAAGTTTTTTTTTTTTCAGTTTAAGGACTGTATCAATTTACTTTGGACCAACTGATGACCAATCAACTAGGTTTTTGCAGTTTTTCTGGGACATTTCAGACCTTCATAAACATGATTTTTGAATTAGTTTCAATTGTCAAGATTGCACTTGAAACTGAGCAATAGTGCCTGAGGATCAGTAACGTGAAGCTAATTGAAGTGTTTTTATTAAGACAAAAACATCTGGATTTTGTGTGTATTGTAATAAACTAAAAGTCATATGTAAGTTTTGATCTAACTTTTATTGAGTGTCTGCTATGCCAGTGTCTCTCATTTTAACCCATATACCCACCTTGTAGTAGTTTCCCTTTTTTTGCATATTAGGAACATATCTGAGTGGTTTACTGACCTGTTCAAGCTCAAAAAATATAGTATGTGGTTGAATTGTTTCCAAAATCAGTATTGTTTTTTTTTCTTTCTTCTTTTTTTTTTTTTTGTTAGACCACTACATTCAACTACCATTTTCATCTACCTGATAGTTGCCTCCTGAAAACAATTTATTTTTTAATTTTTTTTTATTTTTTAAAAGATGACCGGTAAGGGGATCTCAACCCTTGGGTTGGTGTTGTCAGCACCACGCTCAGCCAGTGAGCAAACCGGCCATCCCTATATAGGATCCGAACCCGCGGCCTTGGTGTTATCAGCACCGCACTCTACCGAGTGAGCCACAGGCCGGCCCTCTGAAAACAATTTTTTTTTTTATAAGAACTTCCATTTCTACCAATTTGATATTACTTGACATTCATTAATAGTCATATTGGAGCATGTCTTGAGAGAAACAAGATTTCTTTTGAAATCCTGAGACCAAAATATAAGTAAAGGAAATTCTCAAATCATTTTGGGGCATTTCCCAAAATGCTTTGGGATTTGTATCACGGTGTTATGTAAAATCGTTATAGGTCATATCAGGTTATTTTAGATGGTACCTGGCACAATGCTAAATATCATTAAAAAAACAGTAAGAAAGTTGCTCTTTTTCAATTGTCTTTCAGCCCTCTTGTTAATCATTCTGTTTCAGACAGGAGAAAGCTGATTGATACTAATTTACATCTATCGCTAATACTTGTTGATTTATTTTTTTTAACAAAGAGAGTGCAGACCTCAAGCTCAGGAATATCAGGCAACAACGTGTAACTAGAATTTAATAAGATTGTTTTATTGAATTTCTTTTTCCAGTTATCTTTTATTTTTGGCAAACAATTCTGGTTTCCCATTTATGTGATGGTATTATATTTCCTTTAAAACCAACTTTAATTTTAAAAGGGGGGGAATCAATTTAAAAGTATTAAATAAATAATAGTGTAGATATAGCAGTAATTATGACAGGAATACATGAATGATTAAAGTTTGGGAAGTACTATTATATTTGAGAGTCCCTAAGCTCTTGTGGGCTCTACCACTGCTTTAGTATGTGACTTTAGTAACCCACTGAATTTCTCTGTTGTGGTATTCTCAGATCTGAAATAATGTTCATTATCATTTTTCAGCCCAGGATAGTATTGCATCAAACAAAATTATGAAAAACATTCAAATTCAGAACATGATGAACAGAGGTTCTGATGATCACATGCCATATCCTAAAAATTTACCAATAGGGACTTGATTTTAGAAAATCATTTGAAACACTAAGAACAGAGTCTGACGCCTAGTAAATTTTCAGTAAATTTCAGCTAGTGTTATTATAGATTCTATTACTTTACTATGCTTTCTAATGAAAGTTTTACGATAAAATGGTTAATAACTTTCTATTGAGGTCTGATCTGACTCTGTCTTAGCATAAAGTAATTATAATTCACACTCTGAGCGGCTTTTTTTTAAAAAGTGGAAATAACTTTCTAAATCTGGAGACTCAGTGATTTATTCAAATTAGGATCTGGAGATTCAGTGATTTATTCAAATTAGCTATCTAGGTGAGTGTTCCTCAACATTTTCTACCTGGGAACAACCACTAAGAGGTGAAAAGGAAAAAAAAAAAAGAATGAAAGAAAAATGAAACCCTGTGTAATTTACTACAAAGTTTTCTTACATTAATGTTAGTGTAGGAAAAGAGGTTGGAGGAAGATATGGAGTAGTAGGAAAACAGAACTTTTTCCCCTCTATTTCTGAAATGTTTGAGTTTTTAAATAAGAATATATTTGTGTGTTAATTTTGCTATTGAAAACCTTGAAGACTACTTAAGGTTCAGAGAGAGAAGGTAAGCGAATTGATGATTATGGTTTCATTTGTTCAGAATGGTTCTGGTGGCTCATGCCAACATATTGCAAGAGAGAAAAATTTATGCATTATACATTTTAATAGCACCTATGACAGCTAATATAAGTAGTTTGAAGTTTAATGCCTGTGTTATAGATTTTGCTTTCAAATTTCAAAAAGATTCTGACTTTGAGATAGCTTAATGTCTTATGGTACTGGTTTAATCTGTTTTTCTAAGCCTTCTGCTTTACATATTTTTGATAGGCCACAAAGCAGTGTCATATATATGACATAATAATCAACAAACATTTGAGAGACCTTAAGTTGAAGGTAGTCCACAAGATGCTATGGGAAAACAAAATAAGATAATACCCTCCCTTTGCGGGATTAACTGTTATATATCCTTTGAGGTTTTGATTTGAAATGCCACCTGCAAACAGAATAGAGGACAAAATGGCAAAGAGAAAAACAAGCCGCATCTTTGCATTTCACTTATGGCTGACTGTATGACCAATAATATGTTACTTGACCTCTCAGCACCCCATTCTAAATCCTTAAATGATACTTATATTAGCCTTTCTAAGCACTCTGAGATCTCTTCTTAAAATATGCTTTGAACTACTCGATCTAAATGCTGCTTTCTAAAAAGCTACAAGTTTAAAGAATGGGAAATAGTGTTAATGGAGTTAATCTTGTGTAATTTCAGTGCGGTTTGTCAGGAATACCTCTAAGTAAAGAAGATGACTCTAATCTTCTTAAGCAATTCATTTTCTCAGCAACTTTGAGGCAGGAATTAATTTACTCTGACTGTACATAGGCCCTCTCTTATTAAAGAAGGATTTTACAGGCTGGCCCGGTGGCGCACTGCTACAGTGCGCCGCTTGGGAAGTGCGGCAGCGCTCCTGCCGAGGGTTCGGATCCCACATACAGACCGGCCGCTCACTGGCTGAGCGAGGTGCGGGGGCAACACCGAGGGTTGCGATCCTGATGCCGGTCCCGGTCCGGTACGGGCGCGACACTGAGGGTTGCGATCCGTTGCCGGTCACGAAAAAAGACAAAAAGAAAAAAAAAAAAAGAAGAATTTTACTTATGGGAAGAAGTCATGAAATTACTTAAATTTAGACATTGGAAATATAAACATAAACAAAACAAAATGTGAGATATATTAAATTCTCTTTTTTGTTATAAGTTTCCTTAATAAATACTCAACTACCAACGTAGAAATAAAATCCCTGTTATAAGGAGGAAATTTAGCCATGGAATCAAAACAAGAGCTATTTGGTTGTTTTAAAAGGGAAGATATCAAAGCTGGTTGCTCCTTAACTGAGGGTGTTTGGGCAGCAGGATGGGTTGAAGAGTGGAGCGGGGTAAGAACTCAATTCTTTATGCTTTTATACCAGGCCACCCCTTCTCGATAAGCCTTACTGGCATATTCTTAGACTGGTTAAGTCAGGGTTCTGAATTTTTCACTATAATAGGGTTTTAATCTTAGCTGATTATTGTTTCCACCCTCACCCCAGTCATAAAGGACAGGGGTTCTTTTCTAAAAAGGTAAGATGAAGATTCTTTCTATAAATAACCTTTATAATTCCCTTAGGTTATAATTGCATTGATTTTTTTTGCATGTGATTTTCAAAAGGAAACTAATTTTAATTGCATTTTTCTGTAAAATTTAGGGAATCTGTAAAATTAGGGACTCTCATAAATGCTTATACTGTGTAAATAATAATGCAATTTTCATATTTAGGAGACAATTGCAAATCTGGAAAGCAGTTTATTTTAAGCTCAAAGAGCATTCTCACAATGCATTGAAAGAAAACTTTATCTTCACAGTAAAGCATTCGATGTCTTTGTTTTTTTAAGTTTATATCTTCTCTCATTTTGATTACTGTGATAATTTTCTAACTGAGTGGTCTCCATTCTTCACCCTACCCAGTCCATCTCTTATACTAATGTCAGTTATTCTTCTAAAAGTAGAAACAATCCTGTCATTGTTTTTAGGCCATGTAACATTTCAGTGGCTTCTCAGTATCTATAGAATCAAAGTCCAAACTCCTCAGCATAGCACAGTATGGCCCCAAATTATCTTACAAGTGTCATCTGCCACTACTCCATGAACACACCCTCTGTTCCAGCTCTGTTTGTTCTTGCCCAAATACAGCATATCTTCCCATGTTATGCACCTCAACCTCCCATTCCCACTGGGAACATCTACTCTGCTTACATAAAATGTCTTGTCTGTGAAATCTGTGTTCTCATAACATTTTGTTATGAGATTGCTCATTGCTCACATTCTATTATACTTATTTGATTAAATATTTGGACCATGTACTATGGGCTATTCGAGGGCACTCA